TAATTAAAAAGTGCCTTTGGATAACATTTTATGAAAATTAATTTTCCCCTCCTTTTGATCATCATAATCTTTTTGATCGATCCCTTACCCAAAGTTGGTTTTCCTTTCAGATTCTTTGGCAGTTATATAGGTTATTCATAGAGTTACGAGTATGTTTCCCGAGTTCTTTTAAAGATAGACAAAAGCGAAAGAGCCGATGATTAAAAACGGCCTTGATGGATATAACTTTATGAAAATGAATTTCACTACGATGTGTGGGGATTAGTGACCGTTGATCGATAATTATTCAGAAATCGTGAGATGCGGTTTGGTGTGATGTACGTTTCAGAAAAACATTTTCTTTATCGTGCCAACGTTTCGATCTTTATTGAGATCATCTTCAGGGCCTGGGATTTACAAACATTGTTTACATTTAACAAATACATTTAGGATGTGGAAAAATGAATTTATACAATGCAAAATATATTTTTTATATTCAATCAAAGTATTTCTACTCACTCAAAGTGTTTGTCTTTTGTGTAATTTTGCCTTCTTGCGTGTCGTGTTGAGAGGGCCAGTGAGATTTTGCTGTTTTATGTTTATATACGTTGGATTTTGAATTTTGATTTCCTTTTCCTATTTATCCCTTTCTATATAATCCTGAAAGGATAATCTGGCCGAACCATCACCAACACATTGTTTCCCTTCGTAGGCTCATTTCACCTCAAGAAGCAGACGCCTTATACAAAAATGCCGTTTCTATACCGACTTCCTTCCCCACCCCTTCAAAATGCAAATGTATATAAACATAAAACATCAAAATCTCACTGGCACTCTCAACACGACATGCAAGAATGGCACAATTACACAGAAGACAAACACTTTGAATGAGTAGAAATACTTTGATTGAATATAAAAAATATATTTTGCATTGTATAAATTCAATTTCCCTCATCCTAAATGTATTTGTTAAATGTAAACAATGTTTGTAAATCCCAGGCCCTGAAGATGATCTCAATAAAGATCGAAACGTTGGCACGATAAAGAAAATGTTTTTTTGAAACCTACATCACACCAGACCGCATCTCACGATTTCTGAATAATTTTCACCACGACGTTGATCCATCCTTTTGCTATCTAACTTGTTTCTTCTTTTCTTATTCTTTTGCACTTTTCCGGAGTCATTCCTATGTTTACAAATATGTTTTGCGAGTTCCTTTAAAGGTAAACAAAAGAGAAAAGTGGCTAATTAAAAAGTAATGATGAATATCATTTTTCAAAATTTGAAATAAAATTTCTCCTCTTTTAAAATGGAAATGTTAAACTGTTTAAAACTAACTTGTATTTTTTCATCTTTTCTGATTTCGTAATTCAGAAAGGTAATTCAAAGTTTTGTGAGTTCTTTTTAAGATAAGTAATGGAAAAAGAGACGACATTAAAATTAATTAAAAAGTGTATCGATGGAATTAATTTCATGAAAATAAAATTTCACATTTTTATCAACATAGTGTTTTTGTGGCTGGATAGGCAATTTTTTCCATAAAAATTATTGCCTTACCGGGGAGTGCTCATGGGTTGGGTCAGGTTCGGTTATGTTAGGTACGGATTACCTAAGATAGGTTAGGATAAGGTAAGACCGATTTAGCGAGATTAGGTTTAGGGACGGGTTAGTCTCTGTTTTGAAATTATTTTAAACAAAATTTCTATATAAGACTAACACATGGTAAGTAAACAAAAGCCTAATTTTCCGCGGATTTATAAAAAACGAAAACCCCTTGGCTTTAAAACTTTTAAAATGGACAGCAATGTTTACGTAAATACCCCTAATATAAGTATAAAAATGCCTTTTTGAAAATTATTTGATGAAATTGACTTGTCTTTGGTCACCTTTTCTACCCTTCCTTTCTCAATCTACCTTGGTTTTTCGTTTCTGATTTATCTATAGTGATTTATTTCAAAAGGACTCACGTTGGAGACCGTTTGAGAAACCTCCGACACTTAAAACGATTAACACAGTTTTTCTTTGACACCAAAATTATCAACACTCTAATCAATGATTGACTGAATATTATTACCTATATTTGCCGAGTTGAACGAAAGTCTGAATTGAATCCAAATCAATAAGATTAGGCAGGAATTATGAAGATTTTGTATGCTTTGTGCAGTTTGATCAACTCTCTTAATTGACTTTTCAAACTACCTTTTATTAAAAGGTATGATTTTATCTTGCGTGCTACGCGCCTTATAATTAGAATAATCACATAACCTCAAATTTTATAAAAAGAGATTATCAAAAATATCTATCCCAAATCCTATGTCCCATAATTTGAAAACTGGCGATGTCAGAATGGTCGAAAATTCTAGAGGGTACGAAATTGAGGAAATAAACACAACGAGGAGGCTTCCAATTTTGTCCCTAATTGAGGTCATTGTGCCAATTTGTTTTTCAGCTCAGATTCACGAAAAGATCAACGTCCTTAAAGATCGTGACAATCTTTGTTAACCGTTCGAACAAATACTGTTTACAAGTGAGTAAACCCTGGAAAGTTCAGCGAATAAACTTTTCTCCAATATGTTCTGTCTTCTTCTTTTGTATAGAGGTTAACTAAAAACAACTAAAACTAAAAACTAAAAGAACTAAAAATCATGAATTATTAGTACATATTTTAACGCGATAATATTTTTTCATATGGATAAAAACTGTATAGAGAAGTTGAAATACAAAGTAGTTTTTGAGCTGATTTCATTCATCTCTCTTAGCTTGTTTGAGTTTACAGGCTAAACATTCTAACGTACTAGCTGAAGTTATTACGCAACTTCGCGGAAATACGATCCACGAACACTAATCAAACAATAATTATTAGGGTTCAGATATTAAAACAAATATAACGTGTTGTATTATGCTTTTTGCAAAATCGAGATCAAAAACAACGTTTCCTTATAGACCATGCTCGTCAATACCAAAATTTTTCAAATGGTCCCTGTGCGTACGCTAAAATTTATTGTTTAAGTTATTGCTAATATAGTCTAAATTCACAAAGCCATTACTAAAGCGAAAGATTAGACTTAATTTTAATGATATAATTCATGCATGCCTTACATCAGATTAATGAATGCCGTGACATTCGAAAAAGACAAACTACGATGTGTGGTGGTTAGTGACCGTTAATCGATAATTATTCAGAAATCGTGAGATGCTGTCTGATGTGATGTAGGTTTCAGAAAAACATTTTCTTTATCGTGCCAACGTTTCGATCTTTATTGAGATCATCTTCAGGGCCTGGGATTTACAAGCATTGTTTACATTTAACAAATACATGTAGGATGTGGAAAAAAGTGAATTTATACAATGCCAAATATATTTTTTATATTCAATCAAAGTATTATGGCTTATACAAAAATGTCTTTCCTATACCGACTTTCTTCCCCACCCCTTCAAAATCCAACATATATAAACACAAAACAGCAATATCTCACTGGCACTCTCAACACGACACGCAAGAATGGCACAATTACATTTTGAGTGAGTAGAAATACTTTGATTGATTATAAAAAATATATTTTGCATTGTATAAATTCACTTTTTTCCACATCCTACATGTATTTGTTAAATGTAAAAAACGTTTGTAAATTCCAGGCCCTGAAGATGATCTCAAAAAGATCGAAACGTTGGCACGATAAAGAAAATGTTTTTCTGAAACCTACATCACACCAGACCGCATCTCACGATTTCTGAAGAACAAACTACAATTTTTATAATACACTACAATAAACTTATTTACGTTATCTATAAATATTATTTAGACATACATGAAACAGTTTTGATATAAAAAACAAACTTTGCCAGATTGTGCTTTTTTTAACATCATTTTATTGAAAAGCGTGTTTATTTTTAATTAATTAATTAATGTAAATATGTTACAGGTATTTGATTTAAACCGATCGTCTAACTGTGGATTCTGAAAACGGATTTAATTTAAATGATGCAGCTATAAAGGTTAAATTATTTTTTCCGTCAAGCTGTTTTTACATATTTCAATTTATTAAATGTCATTTACGAATTCCATCTCACATTCTTATTTCCATTTAATTGTCTTCTATACGTGAGTAATAATACCGTTTGGATGAGCCCGTAGGAAATGCTTAATTTCCTAGGCGAGGGATTATTCGCAGCATTCCAAGCATTCTGTCTTCTTCCATTCCCACTAATATCAACATACCATGTGAGCCAATACCCCTTAGTTGTTTTTTTGTCAGCATAATTTCCTTTAATATCCCCACAAATAGAAGGGGTTTTTAAGCCTTATTACATACTTGGTTATTAAACAATTTTTTAGATAAAAAAAAGCGTATTGACGACAGAGGGCAATTGTTGGAATGATTGTCAATACTCCCTCCTTTTTGGCAATGATAAGGAGTTTTTGTGATAAATGGATGATCGGCTTCGATTTTTCCATCATCATCACTCGTCGCCGCAAAAAGGAAACAAGCGGTTTGGCGCAAGTCGTCGATCTTTGATTCAGCAGAAACAAGACTTCCAATTTTATTACCCTTTCAGATTTTTTTTTTTTGGCCTACAGAAAAATTTTTCATATAGGTAAAGAAAAATTTTCTAATTCAATTTCAAAACTAGATCCTAGCACTTTCGTAGAGTTGGAAAGGGGTGTTACTGAAGAATGAACGTAATTCCTCGCAATTATCACAAAAATCTTTACCTTTTCGTGTGAGAAGTGGTATTGAACCCAAAGAAGTACGACAAAATGTGTAAATGTGTTCACCTAGTTATAGGTGAGATTTGAGCTTTGAAGTAAACGACGTACTTTCAATTTTCCAAACAATTATATGCACTCGGATTTTTTTTTTTTATACCAAAATGTTCGAAAAAATGAGAAATTTAATAAAACGAAATTATCAAAAAAATGTTGTTCATATTAAAACCCTTTAAACTGAAGAGGAATCGTCTTTCGTTTTTGAAAAATGACTAAATCCTCGCCGTATAAATTTCCGCCAGTGCCAACCGTCTGTCAATGCCATTTAGATAATATAAAAAAATCTGAGGTTACACGTTTTGTAAAAATTGAAACAGTATTTTTTCTATTAATTCTTATGATATTTCAAAGCTCTACTTAGAAAAGTTACGTTGCTAGCTAGTGAAATTGTAAAAGGAATAATACCGCTTACTATGTTGAAGTTGAACGGATTCAGTTCGAAAATTAGTGTAATTTTAAATAAAATCTCTTTACCTCCGCTGACGACATCGGCGAGGTTCGTCTACACAAAACATGATCTATCCAAAGTTCTGAAATGTCAAGAAAGGGCTGATTGTTGCTGTAAGTTGCTCAGGATAAAAAATCAGTCATATTTAGACAATTTTCGTAGTTAATATTAAGTCTAAGAAAGAGTGATTATTCGAATAAATTGCTTACTATTTTTATAAATCGAATACGTTCCATAGAGTTTACAGGGAAACCTATGTAATTTTTTTAAGTAAGCGCAATCTTTAATCTAGGCTTAGCTAAAAGGACGTCGCATTCGGATCTACCAAAGCCGGATTTCGACAAGTACAGGCGTCCTTCTACGGAAGAACCGGACGACTGCTCCAGTGAAAGTTCGTACCACAGGCGTATCAGCAGTTACATGCCGGTCGCTGGTAAGTATTAAATAAATTTCTTACTTTTCTGTGCATTCCATTCAATAATTCGATTTGTCCATCAGTCATGTTCACGGCTGGGATGTACGCGGCGAAAACGGCCGGTACGATGTTCTTGACTTCGATGAACCCAAGTGCCGACGTCCTCGCGATGGCTCAGCTTGAGCTCAAACTCAACAACATTGCACCAGGTCAAATGCTGACCACGAAGTGGAGAGGAAAACCTTTGTTTGTACGGCACAGGTAATATAAAAACTTGTCTTTGGCCGTTTTCAATATATGAATAACCGTTTCTTTAGGCTGCCCGAAGAGTGGAACAAAGAAAGGGCGGTGCCGCTCTCTATGCTAAGAGATCCGGAAAAAGACGAGGATAGGACTAAAAAGCCCGAATGGCTAGTCGTTATTGGCGTCTGCACACATCTCGGGTGCGTGCCCATATCAAACGCAGGTATTTAATATTTCAATTATTTCATTATATAAGTTGGCAATCTAAGAGTAACCAAAATGGAGTCTCATTTGCTTGAATCCGAGCTAAAAAAATTTGAATGTTTGATGTTTACTTGAAGATACTTTTTCTTTCTTTGCCCACAATTTAATAATATACGAATCGACACATTGTATAAAATCTTTTTGTTTCATCTTACTACCTGTATATAAATCTTATATAAAAATCATATATGAATTCCGTATTTGCTGTACCCTTGATAATTTCATTCACTTGCCTTTTTTTTTATTCTGTAGTATATCTGAATTGACACATTTATAGACATGTCCAGAAAGTTCCTGCTTGAAAACTATTTCGTTTTAATAATACTAAAAAGTAGTTAGTTTGTGATAGTACGGATAGTAACAAAACTCAGAAATATCAAAGTGATTCCTTATCAACTATCGTACCATCATTTTTTTATGATGATGAAAACGATATCGATACTAATATTAAGGACATATCGAACATAAGAATTATCAAAGTGATTCATTCTTCAAACAACGTACCATCATTTTAGGTTGGTTTTTTGTTTAAATGACATTGATGATGATGAAAACTACCTAGATACTAACAGTAAGGACATATCAAACATCAGAATTATCAAAGCGGTTCACTCATCAAATTCGTACTTATCATCATTTTAGGTGTTTTTGAGGGTGGTTCTCCTGGTTCTCCAGTGATATTGTTCACTTAATTTCGTACTATTTTTTGGAAAAATCCTAAAATACATTATATAAATAAAACTATCCAATTTTGTGTACGTATTTTACATGTTCTCTTTATACAGTCAGTACATTTTCTATTCGTCCCTATCCACTTAATAATATCCAAGTTAACGTATTCGTTGAAATCTTTAAAATGGTTCACTCAAACTACCTTCCGTCAAGTTTTTTTAAGTGGCATTGGTGATGTTTAAAACAAGATAATTGCAAGAGTTCGGCCCATTTCTGAAATTCGTACACTTTTTGGAAAACATCCTGCACTATACACAAATAAAACTAAAGTATTGTATCCTGATCACCTTGTATGTGATGTTCCACGTATTCCCTCATTTTTTTCCTAATCGCTTAATAACAATATCTAAATTGACACAATCGTTGAAATCTCTCAAGATGTTTTTCTCATCAAACTACTAGGCCTTTATGATACTGGAGATTGCCTAGTTGCTAATAATATAGACAATCCGAACCCTTTTCGACGTTCGTACTATTTACTGGAAAAATCCAACACAATTTATAAATAAAACGTTTAAAAAAATTATCCTGATTACTTTTCTAACTATAATTCCTCACGTTCTATCATTTTGCTAATGACATATAATATCCTGCCACTTTCAAAATTCGTAATATATATTGGACAAAAAACCGGCATATAATATAATATAATCAAAACGAAAATAAAACTGCTTAGTGATGGATTTTGCTTCTTATATGTTCCAATCGTTTATATTTTATCTCCATCCATTTAATAATATCTACATTGACACATGTGTTGAAATCTCTCAAAATGACATGACACTGTAAACGACCAAGTTCCTAATGACATTTAGAAGAAAATCAGGCTACAACTATCAACTACAACTACAACGCTAAACAAAGCTAATATTTAAGATAAATTATTATTTTTAGTGTTATTATAATTATTTTTAGAATAAAACGAATGTAAAATTTTATTCTGATTATTTTTGAATCCGCTGTTTCATGTTCTTTTATCTTTATCTTTTAGAATGTAGAAAATCCGACCTATTTCCAACATCTTACTATTTTATGCGAAAACCCCGACAGTATATATAAATAAAATAAAAATAAAACTGCATCCAGATGGAGTTTGTTTTTTATGTTCCACATACTCCCATGTTACCTTAAGTCCCTCTCTGTTTTGTCTATTTAATAATATCAGTAACTGATAACTAAAATTAAGTACTCTGATGAGGTTTGATCTGCTGTTCCATATGTTCTTTCATACCTCCATCCACTTTCTTCTTTTTTCCTTGTCCCTTAATGACAATACATATCTCTAATAAATTGAAATAGGTGTTGAAATCTCTCATTATGGTTGTCTCATTAAACTATTTCCAAATATAATGTATAGGTGGCTTTGAAGATACTTATTATAACCTATTTGCTAATGAGATATAGAAAATCCGGACAATTTCCACAATTTGTACTTACAGAAATGATATGAAATTATACTCTGATGAAGTTTGTATTTGCATTTTCACATGTTTCCATGATACCTGGTAACTTTATTTGTTTTCCTTCATCATAATAATACAAAAGTGCTTTTGATGAAGTCTCTATAGTGGTTTTCTGATAAACCTCTTTACGACAAAACATTTTTAGGTGTTTAAGTGGAGGAAATGATGTTGAAAACTACCTAGTTTCTAATGGCATCAAAACTCTTACAAATTTTCCATATTGGTACAATTTATGGCAAAAATCTATATATAAAGAAAACAATATCCTGCTAACTTTTGTTCTTCTGTTCTACTTGTTCCTCTGATAATATCAAGTCACTTTTTGTTTTTCCTCTCATTTAATTCGAACTAGCATATTTAGCACTATCTCTAATCATATTCTCACGCCGAATTATTTTGCATTATTTCTGAACAAATAGAATTTCACTTTCTGTTTTTGTGTGAACGCTTAAAAAAAAAAAAAACCGCGAATTATAATTTTTTATTAATCTATTGGCTAATCTCGAAGTGTCGTTGCGTGAGGTTGTGTTGTGCAATTGTATACTTTAAATTTATACATGAGAGTGTTGGCTGTAGTACTTTTTTTTCTTCATTCCTGCCAAGGAGCGACTAAAGTCGATAATGTACCGAACTTATTCCAGGTTATTTTCTCGACTAATCAACAGGAAAATAGCACATGTTTTCAAATGTTTTTATACAATTACAAAACATTACACCTTGTTATTAAGAAACTGGGGCTACAATTTTGAATTAGGACGAGCGAACAAATTGATAATGTGATAGACAATCTTCTTTCTTGTGATATGTTGTCAGGTAAAAGCCCAAATTTAACACAAAATGAAACATTTCCTATGATAACCTTTTGAGGAATATATCTCGTTCACCAGGGCTTTCAAACTATTATGAATACTGTACAGACATCCTTGTCCATTCCATATCGAAATTGTGGGATATATTCCTATAAAGTTTGACGATGAAAGTGATGGTTTTCTTTTCTTTCAAATCGGCCTTATCACTGAATTTTTTAATATGATTGAAATCCTAATGGCTGACATCCATTATATCGAGATAATTTCATATGATAATGCTTACTTTTTAAAAATTAATATTCTAACCTAGTAATTGCTCAGGGAAAATATAACAAAATCTTAAATGTAAATCCATATTTATCTTCTATCTCTGGAAAAGGTTCTAACCCTGGAACTAATGGTTTTTCAATTGATAATCCTCTTTTAAATAGGAAAATTGCCAGATAATGTTTATATTCCTTTACAGTGCAAATCACAGTATGTGTATGTAAGTAATGTACAACCTGTCATACAGGAGGGATTAACGTCCAACTAACCTTTCGGAACGGGACACACTCATAAGCTACCAAATCATATATATTTATTTGAAAAGAATTAAGATAGAAATTAAACACCTTCTCCTTTTATTTTCGTTGTAGAATTCATGTGAAGGGGATTGAAATCAAAAACCTCTTTGTTTTACATTTTATTGGCAATAAAATATAAAACGAAGAGGTTGGGAAGTTCAATAAAAACAACCCTCTTGCTATATTAGCAAGTTTTTCCGCAGAGCACCACGAGGCATTTGGTCCGTTACATCAAATGAACGGCATTTTCTACATATTAATTAAACGGGTTATATTTTCTTATATCATTCATTTTTAAAAATTCAACACGTTAGTGTTCGATTACAATCAGCACATGTGACAGTTGAACAAGCCTCACAACATAAATTAACATATTTTCAATATATATATATATATATATATATATATAAACACAACGTTTATTCATAATACATTTCGATGATTTTGTCATCCATCATAATTCATGCGTTGCTAGTAGAAAATCCAATTTATTTACAGTAAATTTATGACAAGGCTTAATGTAATTGAGGCATAAATATGATGCAGGCATAAGTTACTAGAAGAATACATCAATGTCCCCTGGTAATAAAAAGCAAAGTAAAATAATTCCTGTCATTCTAATATTCAAGTGTCTATGATTGTCGAAGATGAAGGGAAAAATTTAAAAATATTTTTAATAGTATTAACAATTAAAAAGCTATGGGCTTGGCCGGGATTCGAATCCAGAATCGCTAGCATGGCAAATACGTGTAAGATCCTAACCACTCGGTCTGTGCAGTGCACAAAGTAGGCGTGTTGGACTTTTATGAGTTAATTTATGATTTCGACATGGCACCTGTCTAATCCTCAGTAAAAGTACATTTCTTTTCGTCTGATTTCAGTTTAAAAAAGACTCAACATTTTTTCAATGCGAAAAATGCAATCCAGCAGTGTAAAATTTATAATACGAGGATGGGAAATTTAAAACATGTAAATTCTGTTTTTAAGAGACAATATTTTGAAATTTGTCACAAGACACAAATTTTCCCCGTAAAAAATTAATAGTCAATATTTTCTTTAACTTTGTACTAATCTATATCGAACATAAACAACAACGTGGAAAATAAACGCTCTACATATTTTTTTTAAACGAACGTACATTAATTTCTTTATAAAATGAATATGTAAACGACCGGATTAAATGTTAAAGGAAAATAAACATTTTCTGGCAGGCAGCCTATTTAGAAGAGTATTAATAATGTAAAACTTTTGTTTTAGGGGGAAAAACGCTTTCTGTGATGTAAAATTAATAGAAGGGGTTATAGTTAATATATGAAAAAAGCAATAAAGAAATACGTATTTTTCGAAAATTTAGAATAAGAGGTGTGATGCACTCTGGCTAATACCCATAATAGTATATAGAAAATAAATAAAAATTATGCTAAATAGATATAAGTACAATATATTTAAAGTACATTTCACATGGAATAATTATTCATTTTAGATTATTATTTTATTAAACAGGAGATTACAACGCATTTTACTGTCCGTGTCATGGCTCTCACTATGACTACTCCGGAAGAATAAGAAAAGGACCGGCGCCGACAAATTTGGAAGTGCCAAAATACGAATTTGTCAGTGAGAACGAAATACTCGTCGGATAAAACTAAATTCAACTATTTGGTTTCCTTGTTGAAGTTTAAAAATAAGGTATAAATTAGTATCAGCTAGGTGTTTTCTTCCCGCCTGCAAAAACACCAGTATCAACCGGCACAAATGTAATTTGAAATAAACTTTTTTTTTTATAAAGTCGTTTTTCAAAGAGGATTTGGCATCGAACGAAATAATAACGCCTAGCTTCGGTAGATTGCCATAAATGGATTAACGCCTCGGTCAAAGTTGTAAGCTGTCCACAAAACCGGGATCGCCGGGGGCTGCGGTCAGCGGAAAATTGCAAGGGCCGGCCAATGTAATTATACACCTCCTAATTAACTTTACCACGGTCAAAGCAAACAATGCATGTTATGTCATGGTCGGGACAAGATTGTTTTTCGCCCATCGAGGAATTTGGACTAATAACGGCGAGTAACTTTCACTCCGAATTCGCAGTTTAAAAAAATATATCTATTAAAAGTAATATTGGGAGATGGCTTTTTGAGTTCTGCTGGGTGACGATCTTGTAAATTGGCCAATTTTGATTATTTTGGTACGCCAATTTTCGCTGTTTGACCAGCCATACTGCCAGTATGCACGTCGCAAAGTTCATTGCTTTTACAAAAACCGTCATGACGGTTTAACGGATAAGCAGTTGCTTACAACATCAATTTCGAACTTTATTTTAATAAGGAATTAATCAACTAACCGACTATTCCGAAACGCGGTTTGAAAAAAATACATAGAAGCGAAGATAATTCGAAAATTGATTCAGGAGTGATGAACCTCCAACATGGTCCTTACTGATCATTTTGGTGTTTGTATCCTCGGCGTTTTGGCCAGTTCGTGTTTTATTGTCTTAGCACAGACCAATAATGATGGATAATTTTTTCATTACGTCACTTGTGCCCAAACATACTTAAACTGTCGTCTACTGTGCCCGAGATGTGTATATCTTGGAAGAAGAAGCAGACCAGCTGGTTTTTTTTTTGTTTTTTTTTAAATTTCCTCCTACCTTAAAGATATTTAATACAGTAATACTACCAATACTATACAATAATACTATATTATATTGTGATAATTATTTTTGATGATAGCAGGATGATGTAGTTCTAGCTCAATCGTTGACGAACATTTAGACTGCGAACCCTTCCAATTTTAATTTGTCAAACCAGTTTCGGTTTTTCAGAGTTCGGTCATAGTTGATGCATCACCCTGCTTTTATACAGGGTGTACTTTTTAGAAGGCCCGGCTGAGTTTCTCTTAAACCAATGTCGCTATGAAAAAATTTACGTATTTAATATACCCACCAGTGACTACGATGCTCTGCAACTGTGAAGTTTAATTTTGAGAATTCTTCTTGTAGTCTGATAGGTGTTACATATCGAGAGAGACTTGACTTAACAGAAATCTCATAGACTAACTGAAGATAAGAGTAAACTGTTAGTTATATGCCTGACAGTTTACGAATCTGTTATAGCTTACCAAAAACTCTTCACTTTCGATTCTTCTGTATTTCTTTGATATATGGCATAGGAAGAATTCGAACAAACTTGCTCGTACGTTAGGTCACCTAGTATTATGAAAACTGACTGAAAGAAAACGATCCATAATAATCAAGACAATGGAAGAATAGTAAGTATTTTCACAGCCCATTCAGTACCCGATTTGAGTCAGCTTAAAAGCTTCTAATGTTTTCCCAAACCTGAACCTCGAGCACATGTAGCATAACATTTGTTATGTTATTCTTTAAAATTTGTTATATTATTTCTATGCAAATATACCTTCCCTAAACTGTTTTTTATCTGCAAACCCCATGTGAAGGATGGCTTTTACACATACATTTTTCCTGGTTATGAGTGTCAGTATTAGACAGAGGTGAGTTCCCAGCAAGTTGTAATAATAGGTTTGTGAATTTATTAAATAAATCTAAGAATAACCACAAGAATAAAGCATTGCACGTGATGTCCACTATGTTGAACAAGTTAAAAATACAATATTGCAACTATATAAGTTTAAGTTTTCTTGTATTGTGCTACTTAGAGATTACTTTTTCTAATTTTTAGTATTTGGCACTAATTGAATTATTTATATTCTGGGTATTATATTCATAAATCTAGGAGGCTGGTAAACGTTTTGCTATTACTAATTATTTTTCAATTAATTAAGGTTTTTAGTTGAGATAAAAAAGTCAGTGTTACTAGTGAAGATATACTACATTTTAACTTTACATTCACTAGTATTCGTGGTCCGATTGACCTATTAATATCTTTCAATTAATTAATCTTTTAAGTAAGGTATTGGTTGAGATAAAAAAGTCAGAGTAACGAGCGGAATTCGAACCCATGGACCTTCGGCTAGATACGCCGCTACTCTACCACTTGAGCTACCGCTCTACACTCGGACACTTTTTTATCTCAACTAAAAACCTTAATTAATTGAAAGATATTAATTGGTCAAGCGGACAACGAAAACTTGTGAATTTAATAAGTTAAAGTGAAGTATATCTTCAAGAAAGCTCTCCGTGGCCATTTCATTTGTCGCCGAGAATCGAAAAGATTATACGACATTTGAAAAATGGCAAAAAGGAGGGAAAATTCAAAAGGTGGGGTTGAGATGGGAAGTTAGTGCCCGAGTGGATCGAAGTCACGATAGCTCAAGTGGGAGAGTAGAGGCGTATCTAGCCGAAGGTCATGAGTTCGAATCCCGCTCGTGACACTGGCTTTTTTATCTCAACTAAAAACCTTAATTAATTGAAAGATACTAATTGGTCAAGCGGACCACGAACACTAGTGAAATTAATAATTATGTTATTAAAAACAAATAACCTATAATTATTAATTTTTGCGGAAAAATATATATTTATATACAGCTAAGGATAAGATTAAATCGCCCGTGGGTATTAACGTTGTTCCCCAAGGTAAATAGTCAAGTCAAATTATCCTCCTGGAAATTCTGTCTAGTGTTAGAAAATGTTGATGGGTTAAAGTTAAGTGCCGTCTCACACACAGTTTAACCCCGGAGGAGAGTACATCGCGGTAAATGGTTGATGAACTTTCTGCCAACTTGTTATTGATACACCACACTTCGGCAAGTGAGATCGCGCCCATACACGGATCTCGTAACATATCGCCCTAATGAGATAAAATTAAACGACGGGCGCGCCCGGATGTAACCGGTGTCAAAAGGTGTTCAGTAAATAAATCAAGAAGTTAGTACACAAAAGCGATTTTATATTATTTAAATAAGTGTTAACCATTATTTCACAAAAAGAAACGTGGTGCTTTTGTAATGTTTGTATTCTCTCTAATAAAGGGACATAAAAATATATTTTCAAAGTACATAGTTGTCATTCAAATATATTTTATATTTTTAGTTTATCCATAAAAATAAAAGTTTTAGAGTTCAGCACATCTCTGCATAAGTTTTTCTTCCTGTTTAATAATTATGATTGGGTAGGCATAATTTTTTTGGTAGAAAATCCGGCATCAACAAGCGTGGTACCCATTGAAAAAATAATGTTAATCTTTTTATGTATGGTTTTGGTTGAAATGAAAAAGTTAGTGTCTCGAGCGGGATTCGAACCCACGACCTTCGGGCAAATTCGCAGCTGCTTTACCACTTGAGCTATCGTGAATTCGATCCAGTCGGACACCAACTCTCCATCTCAACCAACAACCTTTCGAATTTTTCCTCTTTTTGCCATTTTTCTATTTTCATTTTTTTGGTGTCCGAGTGGATCGAAGTCACGATAGCTCACGTGGTAGAGCAGCGGGGTATTAAGTCGAAGGTCGTAGGTTCGAATCCCGCTCGTGACGCTAACTTTTTCATTTCAGCCAAAACCTCACAAAAAAAGATTAAGTAATTGAAAGAAGTAATTTGGTCAATAGATCACTAAATATAATGGAAATAATAATAAGATTAGTTTTACATGCTGGGGATTTTATTTGATCGAATGCATACACGCAAAGACATTTTTATTAACTTTTAGAAATGGTTGACTTTAGTAATGCATGTGCTAACATAGGTCATCATCCTATGAGACACGTGATTTTCTCAAACGATCGCGGAATCAACTGTGCTTGTTTTTCAGTTGAGGATTTTTCATGTTTAAAAGTGAAATTTGGAACGTTTGTGTAGTAGTTTCTTCAACATTTTATGACTAATTGTTGAAAGCTGTAAGCTTTATTCCAGTAAGGAAGGTCCTTGTCAATCTATTTAGTGACGTGTATGTAAAGTCCGAGATATTGTGTTTGGTTTGCATTTCGGATGGAAATATTATTAAAGTAAATACGTGGGAGAACTTTTAAGGTCAAACTGTGTGTTTGTCTCTCCTCTCTAAGTTTAATGACCTTGGACGTACTTAATATACTGACTGATATGCCTTGTGGCATTGTCACTTCGACAAATTCCATGCCTTAAATCATGAAGGATTTATAGCTGGATTATTCTGTGCCATATTTTATTCTAAATTATATGGCTATAATATATAACATAACATATATATATATATATATATATATATATATNAAGTTTTTATAAACATTGTTTAATTATGATGGTTAGGAGTAACTTTATTTAAAACAATTAAGTTTAACAAACAATTTATTAGATGGTTGTGCTCATAAAATTAAACTAACAATTTATTACAAGGTTTTGCTCAAAATAGTGCATTAAGAACAAAAGATGCGTTGCGATTGTGCTAGTGATTATTGTGATAAACTCTGTGGACTGTACGCGACGTGTTCTTGCGTCGGATAGATGTGCACACCCAACCAAAACGTGGCAAGGCATCGGGTAGCGTCGCATGGCGTAGCATCGGATACGTGTGCTTCTGGCTTTAGTATCGCTATTCTGTGAGCTCATGCCTCAATGCAACCGGAACCCGGAAAAATCCGAGGGTCTACCAACATAATATAATGTAGCTTATTTTAAAACCATCAGGAAGCTGAATATAATTAATATAATACTCTAATTTTATCCATCATGGCCACCAAAACGCTGTGGGATACCACCAGGATTTTCACGCAAATCTTACATCAGTGTTCCCAGATCATATATATATATATATACACTGATGGATCCAACAGTGAAACTGGAGAAGGAGCAGCCTTTCTTGAAACAACGAGCAAACAATATGCCCAATTCCATCTCACCTAAAAAGCCTCCGTATACACGGCAGAGCTACTGGCAATAAAAGGGGCACTCTATATGCCAAGCGTGAAATGATGCCCAGGATAGTAGTCATCTCAGATTCCCTAAGTGCAGTGTTAAGCATTAACGCACCTAGCTCCAAAAGCCCAAAAATGATATTCACAATCAAATCCCTGATGTTTGAGTTGCAAGAACACGGCGCAGCCGCGATTGTATGGACCAAAGGGCACGCCGGAGTATACGGAAACGAAAGGTGGACCGATTAGGACCGAAAGGAGGCGACTTTAACGGGTGAAAGCAGAGATCACGTGATTACGACTTTAGACATAG